CCTCAGCTCTGCAGCGCAAAATACCGCAAAAAAACCGCGAGCCGCGGCGCGGTTGACGTCGCAGCCGGCGCTTACCCGGTGCTCTGGCGTTAACAACGCCCTCCTGTCCTTGTCAAAACAAAACGAAGGGTTTGGGGGTTAAAAAGGCGTTACATCTTAGGAAATAAACCCACTGTAATCTCTTTTTAATTTGCATTGAAAATACTCCAAACAGCTGTTCCGTGCTTTTTTTTAACACAGTGCTATTGTCATGTGCTATTTGTACCTCATAGTAACGGAGTATGAATGATAAGCCATAAACTTGAATGAATGATAAACTGCATAGTAAAAAGACTGCCCCGAGGTATGCTCCGATGAGAGTTCTTATAGTCCTGTCATGGTTGGATTAAGCGTTGGCATTTAGCTCTTATCATAAGGTAAAAGTCCAGGTAACTGGCATCAGAATAATGAAACTGCTTCGGCATCAGATCACGTGTTTTTCTTAGAATGGTATGTCTTGTAGCCTTCTTAAGGTAGAAGTTATTCCTCTTAGGAGTTTAAGGAGGAGAAAAAAAAGGGGTAGGAAAGGCAACAAACATACATGTTACATACAGTTAAAGCAGCACGTCTGAGCCTGGAGTTGGTGGCAACACATGGAATTGCAAGGCTTAGAAGAATGAAACTCATCTAGTGTTTGTGCTAGCAACTGAGCTAACACTAGCCTATGTTTTTCTTCTGCAACCAATTTGCAGGCTGATAAGGCTGAGAAAATGCTATATGAGGATAAAACCTTTGTCTGGTTAATAGTATGAGTAGTTATTTTGCCCTGACATAAATATGACTGATGGCAGGACCTTCTTTAAGTTCAGCTCTGCTTCTATTTGGTATCGAAATTCATCTGATTTGGATGGCGGCATAGGCTGACGTACGGCCCAGGAGGAGAGAAAGCAGCTCTGCCAAGAAACTTTTGAGTCGAGGTGAATATTTAATTCAGGGCCTGATGCACAGCTAATGAGTCAGGTTCATAAAACTGTCCGCCCTGCACGTGAGCAATAAATGCATATTCCATTCCTCAGTGTAATTAAGCTTTTTGTTATGCTTTGTTGTTTGTTGGTGCAAAACAAGCATCTGTTCAGGATGTCAAATGAGAGATGCTCATGGGAGAAAAGGAGCTTGAAGTCAGATACCTTAACGTAGCAATATATATCTCTGCTTTAAAGGTTCCAACAGAATATTGCTTGTCAGAGTGGGTTTTTTTCTTTTCTAAAGAGGGAAGGGGGATAATAATTGTCTTTTCTTCATCAGGCGTGCAGTATTGTGATAAGCACTTCACTACTTTTGTCAAGCAATTATTTGCCAAACAAATATTTAGTAATATTGAAGTAATTGTTGTGTATCGGTTAGTACAAATAGTGTTACTTCTCTTGCAGCTGTCGTTGGCCTGCTGTATCCCTGCATTGACAGCCACCTTGGGGAACCACACAAATTCAAGAGAGAGTGGGCCAGTGTAATGCGATGTATAGCTGTTTTCGTTGGCATTAATCATGCAAGTGCTGTATCCTTGAACTAGTTTACATTGTTGCTCGATGTGCTTAGTCTGTTGTCATGAAACAGTCTCGCCTGTTCACATCTGGGAGAATTACAAAGGTAAGGGTGGTGCTGCTGGCAGAGACAAACTTCTGTGAGACCTGCAGTACACTGCAGTAGTTACTTTAAGATAGATAACACAGTTCACTTAAAAGTAGCTGGGGGGGGGAGGGATAGGCATCATAGTATGTCTGGTTTAACTGCAAGTATAACAGTATAAGTCGTGTTATTTTAATCTGTAAGTTGTCTACATCTAATATTTAACACAATGAACTATCAAGGTACACTGAACTCTTCAGTAAGAGTGTTCTTTGTGTTGAATAATGATGTTTTGAGCAGAAAACCTAAATCAGCGGGGATAACTGGGTTACTTGAGACAAAAATCCACAAAAGATAAATATATTACGATACAGCATATTCTTTAGATGCTCAGTGGGACAAAAAATGATGGTGCCTTTGCACTCACACTGCTGTCAAAGTCTGCAAGAGCTATGATTGCTCGGCAGGTCTGAAAACCAGATCCTTAATATGTTGTATTTAGAGATACGGAATCATGCTCGCTCGCTTTCAATTTGAGTTCTCCCTTGTTCAGTTTCAGCAGCAGGATGTCTGCAGACTTAAAAGGATTGTCCTTAACATCTTTTTCCAGAAACTAGATTTTGCAAACAACGTCCAGCTGTCCCTGACTCTAGCAGCTTTATCACTGGGTCTTTGGTGGACATTTGACCGTTCAAGAAGTGGTCTTGGACTTGGAATTACAATAGCCTTTGTAGCAACTCTGATAACCCAGTTTCTTGTATATAATGGTGTTTATCAGTAAGTTGTGCTTTTAAAATACTATTTCAACTCTTGTCTTAACTAAAATCAGGGAAGTTAGTTATTAACATATTGAGCATGTTCTTATAATAAGACATTTTGTCTGTCTAAGGCACCTAATTGTCCATTTGTTCCAAGTGATGAAATTGAGAACTGAGGGTGGAGGGTGGGGAGCAGACAAATTGGGATGTATGTGGAAAAGGTAACAGCTCAGCAAACTGAACTTCTCCTGGCTTGGTATATCATTAACTGGCTCTTAGGAGAGAGAATTTCTAAACTTTGCTGGCTCGGACATCGGGTTTTAGAAGCTTATTAAGTTAACAGACTTAATTTGGTCTCCCTATTTCTTCTCCTATGTTACTGGTTTTTTTGTTTGGGCCCAGGAAGCGAATTCTATAGCATCTTGTTAACAGTATGTAAGGTGGTGGTAATAACCTGTCTCTAACTTATTTCCTTTTGTTTACTAGGTATACATCCCCAGATTTCCTTTACATCCGTTCTTGGCTTCCATGTATATTTTTCTCAGGAGGTGTGACTGTAGGAAACATAGGACGCCAACTGGCTATGGTAATTACCATATAATTAGCGTTTCCTTTAACAATCCAAATACCTTCCATTGTTGTTAGTCCAAGAACAAAGTATGCCTTTAAGGGTATGACTCACAAATTGACAGAGATAAACAGATATCTTCCCAAGAGTTGAAACGTAAGTGTACAACCTGTGTTGCCAGTAGAGTGGGAATTGTCTTAGTCAGTGTTTGAGTATCTTCTGTATATAACTTTTCCCAGGAACAGCCTAAATAAGACTGGAATCAGTATGCCATTTCTGGTGAAAATCTTAATCACTCCTGCTCTGTCAGTACTTTGAATTAGCATCTAGGGTAGCTAGAAAACTGAGACACAGATGGGCCTTCTCTAATTATTTATCCAGTAAAACCTGTTTGTTATGTGATGAAAGGAAATGTCGCTATATAGCATTAAATTCCACCACTCTAGAATCAAATATCTTCTTTCTGGTCACTTAAGATGTAGTTCAAGTATCACTCCATGTTTGGGATAATGTAGTAAAAATTACTCTCTCATTTGCTAGGTTCTTAAGTAATTATTTCCTTTTAGTGTACTTACGAGTAAACCTGGCTGGATGCTTGCATGTCAGCCTAAGGCTTGGTTGTGAGAAGTGTTCTGACGCTGATGAATAGTAATAATTAATACTGTATTGATTTAACTTCTGTCGTCTTTGCTACAGAAGTCCTTTATCTTGGAAAACATCTTTCAAGTATTCAACTTCTCTAAGGCTGCTGTGGTTTAGGGGCCTTTAATTTTTACTGAAGGAAAGGCATTTGTAGACTTGGGAGTTCCTGAAATATTAGTCTTCGAACTGTTTAGCAAGGGGGAGAGCTGCTTTTTGGGACTGAACCATGAACGAGTAAAAAGACGAGTGTAAAGCTAGCTGTCTTTCCTGGAACAGGCTCTGTCTCTTCTGCCTAGCCTTGCTAACCCAGTGGGTGGATGCTAATGTTCTTCTAATGTGGATAGTCTGAACTTGATGCTGCAGATGGGTAGACTTGGAGACAAGCTGGGGAAGAGAGCCATGTTGCTTGACCACTACTGGCTAACATTAAAGATCAATTTCTTTAGTATTGATTCTCAGTTACAGTAAATTAACAGAAACGTCTTGTAGAAACAGCTGTTAAAAAAATGAAAAGCATGGGGCAGATCTACTCCTGTTCTTGAGGTTTTTCTTTCATGCTGACTTCATACCAACTTACAGATCTCCCGGGACCATGGTCACAATCTTACCTTTACAGCCAATCCTGGTTTGCTCTCAGGTCCTTTAAAATACAAGCTCACTCCTCCGCCTTCAAATCCCAGTGGTGCATACTATCTGCGTGTGTTTTTTCTTAGGACTACCTGTGGGGGGGAAGAGAGAGTATAATTTCTCTTTTTAAATTTGCCATTCACATCAAGTGAAAAAGATGTATTAATATAGTTTTACTGAAGCTTTGCTATTGCAAGCAGAGTCTCGGAATAAAATTATAGTCAGTTATTTACTAAAGTTCTATATTTCACATTGACATATGCAGTACTTCCAGTTGCTATGCTGCTTACGTGAGAAAGCAAAGGAAGGGAGCATTAAAGAAGAAAGAGCTAAAATAAATGTAGGCACATAGGACTTTTTCTTTTTCCCTTTGACTCCTTTTCCCCTGGCATATCACCTGAATGTAGTTAAGATCAGAATGGCTCCTGCCTGCAACTTTCCTGTCAGTCTTGTCATCTTCCTTACAAAGAAAGAGGGAAGTTGGCAAGGCAAAGCATTCTATGCTGGTTATCTAGAAGTATCTTCTCATGTGTTTTACATTACCATTACTTAGTCTGGAAAAACTTGGAGAAGCCCAATGTTTTCATAGGAACACTTCCATAAGTCACTGAAGCATTCAGTGCTGGAAATGCAAATAATTCCACTTCTAAAACAGAATGGTAGCATTCAGCCTACTAGGTCTTTCTTCTATAGAGATGACCCAAAAGCATCCGTCTGTTTTGTCAGCCATTGCGAATGTGGCAAGAAGATGGAATGCTGCATTTTTTTAAACTTAACCTGAATAAAACAGTTATTTTTGTAGCTATATTCTCCTGTAGTCCCTGAGCTGTTTGGCTGCATGTGACAGCTGCATATCAAACAGTAGATATTTTCTGGGCGTGTCTAGAGGAGAAGGCAGCACCTGTGGGAAATACTTTAGTGGAGTAAAGTTGCCTTGCTTCTTCCTCAGCCCCTGCCTAGCTTTTTCAGTTAGAAAAGAAATTTGAAGAAGTAGAATGAGAAGCGTCCCTGAGACATCCCCTCCCATCCTGAGAAATGTTAGCTGGGAGGTGCTTGCTGCTTTTCAGTCCTTGGATTTCAAGTGAGCTTACATGCAGTAACCAAGTACAGTGTTACCTTGAAGCAAACCTGCTGTTAGCAGAGGGGTTTGGGTTTTGTTTGTTTGTTGGGTTGTTTTGGGGTTTTTTTGCTATCAGCTTGAGGATAAAATCCAACATTTTCTTTAATAGCTTGATTTCAAGAGAAAAGGTGAAGGTGCTGCTGCTGCCATCAGCCCTCGCTGCTCATTGTGACACCTAAAGTTACTCAGTCAGTTGCTCATCATCTGGGTTAAATGGATGGCAACACTCCTGAGTTGTAACCATCATTCTCAACATCTGGCAAACTAGGGTGGTATTCAGAACTTGGACCTCACAAATATCTATTGTTTGCTACAGGCTGCAGAACTGTGAACGCATTCATTACTTGCAAATACGTTGGCATTTTGGCTCTAGACTGAGAAGAACATGTTACAAGCTTTCTTTTAAAGAAAAGTTGGTTACATTTCTTACACTGACATACTATAGGGTTTCATACTAGAAAAGGGCCTTAGGAGGAAATGAGTAAGTCTATGTGATACCAGGCTTTGTTTGGAAAATAAAGTAACTTATGCTTGAAGACAGTTTGAAAGAGGGCTGTGAGAAACCTGAATTAATGCCCGTTAAGTGAAGCACTGCGTTCCTTCTGCTAAGAAATAAACTGAGATAGGGAGGAAAGCTAACAAAGTCTTATAAATCCATCTACCAATCACGCTGCTTTTTATCAGATGCGCTAACTGAGGCAGCACAGACCCATAGTGACTTTTTTGTCTGCAGTTAAGGAGCATGTCCCTATTGAGATTTTATAAGAAGCCATGACTGCTAGGTCATTGTCAGTCTAACTGAAGCTAGTTGACTATTTAATCATTGAAAATACTGCATAATGTAGTCACTGATCAGATGGTATTAAAATATAACGTGTTTGTTTTTTATCCATAGGGTATTCCAGAGAAACCACACAATGACTAAACCTTTGAAGAAGAGAGCACAGTGCCAGTGTGAAAGCAACATTACGAAGATGTGTTCCTGTTTTAAATTGAAGATTATTTAGAAAAAATAATCTCTTTATGGGCTCACTGCACAAATGACTTGTGGAAAAAAATATTAATCCACTCTTAGAATAGCCAAGTGAAATTAACTGCTTATCTTGAAATCTTACCCTGATTTACCGCATAAGCATTTGCGTATGGCTGTTCTCTGGAAGAGTTTAACACCAAGTTGCATACAACTGTTCAGGCTAAGTGGCAGTTTTCCAAGTATTAGATTCCAAAGTAAGTTATTGAAGCAGCTGCCGTATTTTAAAGCCTTGAAACTGAAATTTAATTACAAGCTCTTGTATCAGTGCCCAAAGGAAGTAGATCGATGGTGCTTAACAATGATGAAGTATGGTTTAATAGGAATAGTATTTATCCAAATCTTTAAAAAATAGGGTTATTTAAAAATAAGAGTGATCGAAACAGATTAAAGGCATTGCACTAATGCTTTTAGGAGTCTTATGAAGGAGTTATGCCCTTACTTGTAATGCTGCATTAAGTTTCTGTCTTTGACAGTAGAGAGGGTTGGAGGGATGAAAGGTTGGAAGTCACTTAGTTTGGAATTTCTAAATTACTTCAGTACAATAGGTGAACACTGGAGACAATCTTGTTCTAACGTGAACTTTATCAGGAAATTCTGACTGGAAATTTCATTACTTCTGAAGCTTGCAGTCAGATTTGCAAGAATCAAATTCTGGCCCCAATTCAGTAAGAAATTTAAGCGTATGTGAGTACTCCTGCTTAATATTAGATGTATGCTTCAGTGTCTTGCTGAAGAAGGTCTTGGATATCTTGAATGTCTGGTGTCACTGAAAGAACATGCATTGCAGGCCATTGCTTGGCCATTGAGTATGTGCCCCCAACTCCTTAGATCTGCAGTTTCCTCCTAGAGGTGTCCTTGATCTTGCTTCTGTTTGAGCCAGGGTTTTGATTGAAATGATTGAAAACAGAAGCGAGCCAAAAATGTGATTTAAACTGTATGTGAAGAACAGCGAACAGCTTGTTTTCTCAGTTCAGTTTCTGAAGGAGATCACTACTTGTTTTTTCACGACCCTATAGAACTTGCAATCTGTGATTGCCTTCTTAAAAAAGAAAAAAAGTGCTTATGTCACTACATTAAACATTTGGTGTTTCTTAATACTTAGTTCTGGTGAGCACAACGTATTCATTGGATAGCTTAGACCACAGGAGACCTAAATAGCAAGTATTAGGTCTTAAAGTTGAAGTGCAATGTACAGTAAATCTGAGCCTCGCGTTCTCTTCAATATCGATCATTTCTTATGAGAGATTAAAGAGAAAAGGGTTCTGAGTTCATTTCAATGCTGCATGGAGTCAAATGGAGCAATAATTTATTTAACTAGTAAAGCTAGTTTTGTTGTATCTTTCATTGAACCCAAATTTTTAGAAATACTCCAATTTTGTGGTTATGGTGTACTTGTAAACTTTTATGAATTTGCCTTTTTGTATTATGCAGGGTTTTTTTGTGTTCATTTCCAATTTTACATGGCTTCAGATATAGTTAGAGGCATCGGTTAAAGACTGACCCGTCAAAAAAGATGCTGAGGCAAGGTAGCAGTGTTCTGGCTGTTTTCACTCTTCTAAGGGAATGCTATAACTGCTGCTTGTGCTTTTTTGTAGCAGGAAAAGTTTAGCACAAAGTCTGTATTACAGAGCGGACCCCAATTCTAATCTTGCTTTGGTGTAAATCAAGAGTAATTTCATTGGTATAAGATCCTTCCTCAAATGTTTAAAATCTAAATAATCACATTTTATAGGACTGCTTGAAGAAATTATGTCCTCAGATGAGGACTGGATCGGCTCAGCTGTTTCAAGAAGTATGCTACCTGCTGGGGAGACAGTTTTGTAATCATCTTGAAACTAATTTCAAAACGTTATAAAACCAGATGTAAGTAAAGGTGACCGTGATCTCTACAGCTGTATGATTGATAGAGACGTATTTAAGATTTATTTGTAAAGACTGAAACTAAATTTGTATGTGTTAGAAATAATGCAGCCAAAAATGTACGTCAAAAGTTCATTTTTTGCCAATACTTCTGAGTATCTTAACCAAAGTGATTTAAGTTTGGAAGAAGCTGGAGGGGAGTGAAGAAAATTTGCACTATTCTGAATTTGAACACTTAAATTCTCATTCTTACTGATAAGTTTTCAGCAGTGTGTTTGGTTTTACACTTTTTTTACTATTAAAGTTTTAAGATCAAGTCATGTTTGCCTTGGATTCTCTGTATTCGCATTATGCAGGAATCTTTCTTGAAAAGGACAGTTGTTATGGTTGCATAACAAATATTCAGTCATGCATACTCCGTGGTTTAAAAGAAAATCCTAAACTGAATTTATAGATCAGCTTTTAGAGGCATTTCCAGCTTGGGTTATACAATTGAGGAGAAAGTCTTGCTACTGCACCAAGAAAGCGGCATAAATGTATGTTATGGTTACGTGATTTAAGGTACAGAATCTTATTACCATTGTCTTCCAAGGTGCTGAAATTCATCCTTTAAAAGAAAATACGGAGTGGGCAGGGTAAACATGCACATTCCTGTTGAGGCTTGGTTATCTGCAGTAATGACTACTGAACTCTGAAGCATCATAAAGAGTGCAAACAGCAAGAATGAGTAAGCACAGCTGATAAGGCTAAGCCATTCTAAAACTTGCATCATCTGATTTAGGGAAGATAGCATCTTGCAAATTTAGACCAAAAGTCTTGGATTTTACTGCACTTTGTTTATTTCAGACTTCGAGAAGCTGCTGTGTTTGTGGTGGAAACAGCAGAATGGCTTTTTGATCAGTCTTCATCCATATCAGTGCAGAGTCTGTTGGTGTAGGTGAAGAAGGCTTCTTTAGGAACTTCTTAACTATTTTAGCTTAAATAGCGTGTTCTTGCTTAACTTCAGTGGGTCCTCCATGGCAGCTGAGGAGGTAACTGCTAACAGCTCCAATCTGAGGGTGGCCCAGATCCTCCAGGTACATTGCTTTCCCTCAAACTGTTCAGATTTTGTCAAAAGGAATTAAAAATATATATATTATAATATAAAAAAAAAAGTGGGATACAGCCAGGTCTTGGGGAGCTAGGACATGATGGTCTCCTTTTGAGACAGGAAAGTGTGCACAAAGTTTCCAAAGGGAAAAAGAAAAAGTCTTCCCAGCCAGAATGATGATTTGACCTGTGCGTAGTTCCTGCAAATTCATTCAGTAGGTTATTCAGCCGTTGGCTTTAAGCATAGGGATTTGCAGGTGCTAAATTAGCCACAGGAGGGCCCAGAGTCTGTTCTCTGAATACAACAGGAACATATTGAGATGAATAATGAAATTAAGTCTCAATTGCCTTACTGCACATCAGAGTAGCTCCAAAATTCATGAGAACAAAGCATTACGTGCTGGACTAATTGAACAAAGCATGCTTTATATAAGAGATCATTGAGGGCCCTGTCTTGGAAACCTGTAAGAGGTATGAGTGATCACAGGTTCTTGAGCCGAAGGGTCAAGAAAGGTACCTATAGGTGATGGTGATTTCTCTGGGCAATGAAACACCACACGAGTTGCCCCATACCTGGTTTGGAGTCCTTCCCCCGCATTGAAAGTCCTCCTGTTGTGCAGTGATGAGGTTCTGTCTGTGGGCTACAGCTGGGGACAGGTGAATTATATATGCCATAAACCCACAGTCCTCGTGCCTATCTGTGTGATAAGAAGGTTTGTAGGTTGGGATAGTGCTACTGGCCTGATCTGGTTAATTTGCAAAGACAGAACGCAAAGTACATATGATAATTTCTATAAATAATGCATTACTGCCCAAAAAGTCCTAAAGGGTCAGAGCTCACGTGAGTTTTACTCAGTAAAGTTTTTCCCCAGCTGAAAATCATGTTTTCTCTATTACAGTAAGTCACGCCTATGTATTAAGTACTTTGAGTGCCTTTATATTGTTATATTAAATATCAGACAAGGGCTACAGAGATTACACCCACTCACTATGTTTCCTAGGGATTAAAATACCAGTTACAAATCAGCGTTTTTACACAGAAATCAAACGCGGCCACATCATTTTCTGCCGGGTCAGTAGCTGCTCAGTGGCTCCAGCACTGCCCTGCGGTGGCCAGGTGAGGATTTCTCGGGCCAGTCTGGTGTGGCTTGGAGCTGGGAAGGGGCGGCCAGCTCCTGTAACTGCTCCAGGGATCCTCCAAGCTTCCTCTTCCCAAAAACAATACATGTTCAGTATTGTTTGTGCTGATGTTTATTATTTGTTTTCTAACTGGTCAAACTGTATGAGATTCAACAAGGCTCAGGGCCGGGTCCTGCACTTGGGTCACAACAACCCCATGCAACGCTACAGGCTGGGGGAGGAGTGGCTGGAGAGCTGCCTGGCTGAAAGGGCCTGGGGGGGGTGGGTGAAAGCTGCCTGAACATG